TAGAGGAGACAGAGCTCTTCAGTCGTTTTGCTTCTGCCTATTTTCTGTAGACTCAAAAGCAGTTTGGGTCATGTCAGAACTCACATCTGCTCTAGGAGTGGGAAAGCAACAGTACCTTTTCAAGCCTAAATTATAGAATCTGTGGAGTCTAAAACATAATTGCCCCACTGACAGAGGAGGTTGGGCTTGGGCTTCATATTCGGTCCTTCTCACACCTTCTGGTTTGACAAACAACTTCTGATTCCAAAGTGAGACTCTTCCAGATCTTAAGTGTCTTTTCATTCTCTAAGGTCAATTCTGATCTAAAGGACAGAATTTAGAAGATGCCTCTACGATCTTTCAAAGAAAACTTCGTTTTCTTTTTGTCTCGAACACCTTCACCCTTCCTATATCTGTGCTTTTCACCACCCCTCAACCTTCCCAGTCGTAAGGTCAAACTAAAGATTTTGTCACAGCAGAAGGAAATCAGAGGAAGACAACAACACATTCCCTGAGGAAACACATTGTGTCTCAAAAGCAGACCTGAGCAGAGAGTATACATTCTTCCCATTCACAATTGCACTGGGGATGACCATGGCATCAGGATGGTGAGGCGCCCAGCCAGAGGCCCTCAGAGGGTCTGGGGTGTTTTCAGGTTGAGCTCCAGAGAACCCTCAGGTATTTCAAGTGCCCAGGGAGCCACAATGTGTAGAATCCTGGAGTGCCGGGGCCTCAGGCGTGGGCCTCCGTCTCCTTCTTGATGGCCGGTTTGTAAATGACTCCTTTATTGTTGTCACCTTTTTTGCTACTGAGACAAGAAGAACACGAGTCTTGTTAGTCCAAGAGGACAGAGAGGCAGAGAGCAGCCTGACTCAGCTATGGCATCAGACAAGTTTTAGGGATCAGATTCCTCTCTTGGGGACTTTTCTCCAATTCTATTGGTCTTAGGAGGGAATGACTGAAAATGAAGTATTAGCCAAAATGGAACTTGTTTATTTTCCAATTGCTCTCTTTTAACACCTGACAATACTAGACCTATATTTGGAAGTTCTCATTACCACCCCTGCTTCCAACCTTTGATTCCATAACAGGGTACCTGGCAACCTTTTTTTTTTTTTTTTTTCATACCAGGAAAAATAAATTAGGTTTTAGGAAGCAAAACAAAACAAAACAAAAACCATGACAATAAAAACATGAGCAAAAGGCTAATGTGAGTAAAATCAAGTTTTCCTTTACTTTTTGTTTTGGATTCAGACAAGAAAAACCAGATATAAAGATCTTGGAAGATATCCTTGCTGCTGGTATTTAGGTAAATGTGACCTTTCCCCTGCCCCAAATCAAGAGACTCATCCAAGGTTTTAGCAATGGCAGCAAGGCTGGTAGACACACCTCCAGCGTCGTTCAGAGGAGGCCTGAGCCAGTGGTATTTGGGAACCAGCACTCCTAGGGTAAGTGTTGGTACAAGTGACAGGGGTTCTCCATTCTGCAGGCTGCCTTCCCAGGCAGATCAATCCTCATGGACACGTAAGCCACCCACTCCCATTTCAAAGCAAAAACAATTTACCTTTTCTTCCTTCTGAAAAGCCAAATGGATACTGCCAGGACAATACAGATGCCAAGGATGCCGGCTAGGGCCACTGAAAGGATGATGCCTGGTGAAGAGGCAGTGGATGCATGTTACATTCCTACCTTCCCCATCATCTCACCACATGGCACGTGGGTGTGAAGTCAAGTGACAGCTGCATAATCATTCACAGAAAAGCATAATTTCCCCATATCTGTTCTTAAGTTCTGGTCTTTGGCTTAGCAGGACTGGCCGAAGTACTTAGAGGGGGCCGTTTGCAAATTATAGTCATTCTCCAGTAGAGGTTCTCAGACCGGCACCAGGATCATCTGAAGAGCTTATCTAAAATGTAGACTTCCTTTGAGCCCAACCCTTAGAAACTCTGATTCAATCTGGAAGGGGCCCAGGAATTTGCATTTTTACCAAACACCTCTATCTGATGCCGATGTACGTGGTCCATATACCACACTTTGAGAAACCCTGGGCTCAGAATAAGAATTTACTCCATCTTTGCTTTCTTGTTTTAAGGCCCATTGGGATGCCTCTTTATCAGAGTTGCCCCCCAAGTTCCATTGCACAGTCTTAAGCAATCCAAACAACCAGGGGCCCATTCCCAAGGTCACCTAGCCAGTCACCTAACCTTCCCATTGGGCTCAGGCATGTTTTTAGGCAATGGCTTCCCACCATGGCCAACAGAAGGTCTTGGATAGGCTTTTTGAATGCACACATGCTATATAGAGTGATTAGGTCTTTTATTAGGGAAGCATTTGATTGGCAGTTCATCTTTGAATCAGAGAGTGACTTGAGGGTAAGACCCACAGTGAGAGGAGTCCAGGAGCCAGAGTGACAGCACAGAGAAGCATAGAGGATGGGCTGGAAATACCTCAGGCCCAAATCACACTGAAAATCACAGTGATCACCCAGCTGCAGCATGCATGGCTGGCCGGCTGGCCACATACCCAGACTCAGTCCTGCGTAGGTAAGGTCTTGCATTTCAAAGAGGGAGGAAAAATCGGAAAATAACAGAGTCAAATCGTGATGGATTTGACCAGTATGTTAAAGCTCTGTCTTTTGTTTAGTTGGAGATACTAGGCTTATGCAGACTTTCTGGGGGTGTTCACTCTTGACTCAGGTGTCTGATGGGGTGGAGGGAATTGCCCACCTAAAGGGTTCACACCGTGATCCCTCCCTCTGATGTTCCTTAGTCACAGCAGTTTCTTTGCTAGGGCAAGACTTCAGCTTTTAATACAAAGCAGCTGAAGTGGAAGGTGAGGAAGCCTATTTGGGCAGGCTGTTATCCGCTTCTCTGGTACCTACCCCACTTCTTCAGTGAGGAACTTGCCATATTCTGGCTGGCTGGGGCTGACAGAGCTTAGTTGGAAGCCATCACCAGACTTCTGCCTGTCCCCATCTAGTCTGGTGGTTTTCTGATCTTAGTAAAAACTTCTAGCGTGTGCGTGTGCATGTGTGTGTGCGCATGTATGTGTGTATGTTGCGGGGGATGCTTGTCCAGTTCACATCGGAAGCCAGAGTTATGCAGAAGGTGGCCACCCAGCCCAACACTCAGGAGAGCCAGTACCCATAGAGCCTACTGTGGTGACGAGACCGTGGGTGAGCCCTGACCAAGTATGAGATGCCAACAGAAAGTCAGGGACTCACCCTTGGGTCACTTGACACCCCAGGGAACCAGACCTGAGACTACAGCGTGAGGTTTTGTTCACCCCCTCCTCCTGTTGTGTGGCCAGAGTCTGGCTGATTCCCTTGGAGCCATCAGCCCTGTGTTCTT